AAATGACTGGGACACCAAGGCGCAAGAATGATGACTTTTGGCTTGTTGTTACTAAGGTATGACCAGAAGGCTCGAACATCACTTTTAGACAAAAGATCAAGGCTTGCAGTCACATCAAAATTCCAACCATTGCTAACGCCATGTTTCTTAATCACCAGCCACAAGGATCTGTCATTTTCACCGAAAATCTCCAAAATGTCAACGGTTTCGCTGTCACTTGGAACAGTCATATGTGCAAATTGTTGCATGGTGAATGCACCTCGCTTCTTAAGCTTAGACATTGGCGAAGACATTGATGAACCATGCATCCAGCGATATCGTCCAATCGCAAAAGCTCTAAAATCAGATTCAAGATTATCTGAAGCATTAACATGCTCTGATCTGGCACCACACAGCTCAGGCGACCATGCAACGCACTCTATCGCCTCATGAAGGCTGCTCAAATCATCGCCAAGATCATCACACGTTTGTTCAACTTCAAATTTCTTTGGCTTAATTGTGTGTCCAGCTTTAATCCTGGCCTTGCGCCTCTCGGCACCTTCAGTCGGATACACATGACTAAAATCTTGAAAAGGCGGATCCGCAGCGTCAGCCTCAAACTCCAACAACCCTGAAGTTTCTGGGTGTCCCAAAAAGGCTTTTTCTTCACCAGAAAACTGGTCTCGGGGACACCTCACTTTTGTACCAACTTTTAAGGGTTGAAGATCATACCGCAGGGGAAATTTATATGACTTCAGCTCATCCACTTCTTCCCTGCCGAGGTGCGGCAGTCCACGACTGGTAAAAGCGTTGATACTCCAGCGGTCCCCAACCCACGGCTCAGGACCGTGACTCTGCTGAGGACTGAAGACAACAATTTTATCATGACAGTCGAGAATCTGGCCAGGAATCATGCGATCTCCCACCTTGCGATAGTGCGCAGCGGAACTGTCGTCCACATCCGTCAGCTCCAACCATAAACCACCCTGCTGATAACGACCTACACAAAGAATAAGATTTAGGGAGCCCCTAAGATTGTGATTATCTCTATGCTTGATCATCGGGCTGTTGTGGTTTATGCTCAGAGACGACCATTGCAGTCGCTGCTCGCGCGCATTCAAGAAAGCGTTTACATATCGAACCAACTCCTGCTGAGAGCGTGTATGTTTGATGATTCCAACAAAAGCACCGTGGGCATAAGCCCCAAAAGTGTAGCAATCTGCGTTGCCATTTTCATCACTTGCAATATCACGAACACCATGTCTGCTGCAGAAAGGTGTGGCAAGAAAGATGCGGTAACATGTTGAGCATCGGAAGTCCCGATTCAATCGACATTGTTTAGCAAAGGCCTCTGCTTGTTCGGCATCAAGCACAACATAATCACACGACAAGTTGGCCTGTAGTCTTACAGGCGACGGAGATCCATCTGAAAACACTTCAACATGCGTAGCATCGAACTTGGAGTCTCTCAACTCGGGTTGTATGTGCTGATTGCTGCATGCCGAAGACTCAAAAGAAACACGTTTCTCAACGTCTTGTCGCATGAAATCAAGTGCCTGTGAGGCCAACGCGGACAATACCTTGCCAAAGCGATCCTCGCGACTTCCTGGAAGCTGCTTTGAATCAACATGTCGCACATTGGAAGCACAGTTGCACAGTCTACTCTCCATATGAAAATTGGTAGCTAATCTGACAACCGTGCTACAGCTCACTTCCTGCGCACCTTCATATTGACACCAACAGTGCTCTGTGACACAAAGACCTGGTAATAGTGCTCTGACAGATTGCATGTTCCAAACTTGGCTGCGCGCATTTGCCTCGACAACAACCATGCGCGCTGCAGACTGCTGCGAACCAATAATTGCACAAAGGTGAGCCGTCCGCGCAGCATCATGTTTGTTGCCTGAACCGGCGCACGGACCTGCCAACCTTACCCATAGACAGCGGGGGCTTATCTATGGTCAAAGCTTGCAACAACCTGTCCCGATGGCCTTTTGAATGAAGATCGTGGTGAATATTGTTCGTAAGGAAACCAAGTCGCTGCAGCAGCCTCTGTCTCAAACCGGCCTTATCCGACACAACCCACGCCAAAGGTTTACCCACATCTAGACTATCGTGAGAAGAATTCGGACTCGGACGATCATGCTCCGGCTGTGGCAGCTCCTCGTGTTTCACATCTCGCTGCGAGCCCGCGTGCGCTCAGGAGAAGCACTGCGGTCGCCGCGACGACAGGACATTTGGAAATCCAGGCCACTTCGGTCACTTGACGATGCATTCTGAGACACATCAAACCGTGCATCTATCGGAAGAATCAAGTGACCACTGTCCGACATTTTCAAGTCGTATGCCACAGTTCCAGGACAACGCTGAATTTCGCAGCCAGCTGGACCAGGAAGGTACAACTTGTTGTTGCCCATATCGAGGATACACCGAAAGGATTTGAGACTCTTCAGACCCAACAGTGGCGGCAGATCAGAACCTGCGATGACCGGCGCAGTGAAACTCCCAGCTACTTGCTTGTTGTCGTCACTGCAAAGACGCAAGGCCATGCGCTGCGCAACATCAGCTTGCTGAGAGTCCTTGCCGACTCCTTCCACTGAAAGAGAACGATTCATCCTCAGACTCTTGGCTTTGACCCCAACAATCTCCTGCATGCGTTGCGCGGTTCGCTCGCCTACCAGATTATCATGCGCTCCAGGATCGATCAACAATCCTGGGCGGTCGTTGGCCAATCTGGTGCGCAAATGATAGGCCTTGGCATTGTTGGTATCACCAGTGGGTGCTGTGTCGTAAGTTGATCCTTCCTCATCAGCCTCCCACCAAGCCATCAAAAGACTATTCAGTTGAACCACGGTTCGATTGCGCTCGATTTCATCTGCATTTGGTCCACGCCTGTTCGGGGGAGGATGTTTGGGACTTGGAGCACCGGGCCGAAGAGCTTCGACAGCGGTGTTGTCAGCATCTTGTGCCTCGGCAGACTCAGCAACAGAACGTGCCGTTTCAGCAGCACTCCATCTCGGAGGACTGTCCGGTCCTACGTCTGACCTTCTGGACTTCCGCGAGCGATTGCTGCTTACTTGGGACACACTTTCAAGCCTTGCTAAGTCCTCTTCAAGAGTCGTCATGTACCTGTTGCCGCTGGCGTGCGAGGCCACTGACGAGGCTGCACCTTGACTACCAACATGATAGTGGAATGCAACTCCTGGCAATGCAGCTGAAGCGACACCGGTATGCCACGTCTCGACGCGAGGAGGTGCTGGCGGTGAAGTCAAGGCAAGAGACGCGGGGACTGGCCGAGAAAAGTCAGCCAGGTGAGCGCTGCTTTGTCCAAGCCCTTGTCCTTTGCCGGCGCCCTTGGAGATTACCTGTGGACACTTCCTCCACAAATGCTCTTCCGACCCGCATTTTGAGCATTTAAGCACTTGACCATCCTTACCGCGTGGATTCTTCCGATGAAAACCGCCCTTGGTTTTACCCGCCCCCTTACCACCTGCGAAAGCAGTTGGGGGCAGAAACGCCGCATATGTCCGTCCGTAGGGCCCATTTCGCAGCTTTCCAATGTGGCGATTGGCACGGAAGTTTACCCTACGATATCTTCGGGGAGGCTTCCCCGTGTATCGCCGCCATCTGCGTCTTGCCAGAATGTAATCCTGGTACAGCTCGTTCTGTCGAGAGTTGGCATCAGTTCGGCTTTCACCATCGACCTCAACAGCGTTGTATGCCCTGATGCCTTCATCAACTGAGCCCGTGTCGGTATCCGTAGCCGACGAGAACTCCCAATCGTCAAAGTACGAGCCGCAGGCAGTACAACGCTCCTCACTATCCGCTGAGGAGCCAGCGCCTGGCCCAGCAACATACTGCCCCATGTCTTCAGCAGCTCCGCCGGCAGACGAATGGTCAGGCATCCAAGATCCTGGACCACCGAATGATCCACCAAGCCCGCCACTGAGGTCTGCTGGCACATCGTGAGCTGCATGATCTCTCGGAACACCGAAAGTGGGGAAGTAGTTGTATGCACCAGGATCACCAACTCCAGCCTGTTGGTTCGGATGACGATACGAACCTTCGAACAAATGACCTTGTCGCCTGATCCTTTCCAACAGCTGTGCAAGCTGCGCTTCGTCTTGCGGCAAATTACCATTCAAGGGCTGCAACAGACGATCAAGCTGATCAACACTCACGCCGACGGCTTTGAGAAGCAACCAAGCCAAGCCCTGATGATTCACGCCTAAACCACCGCGCACTGCGGCACGATTTCTTAAGACATCAAATCGTACAAGGAAGGCATCTATACTCTCGCCTGGCAACCGGTTGAAATTCAAGAAATCAGACACCGCTCTAGTCTGAGCCTCACCGTCCAACGGTGAGTAACGACGAGCTAATGTTGTGACAAGAAGCATCAAACCGGTAATATGCTGACCCGTTTGCTGATCCCAGGCTCCCTGTGCCAGATGTTCTGGAGGTATCTCTCTCACCAATTCCTTGGCGGAACCAGTGATCTGCATGGCTGCAATAGCTCCCTGTCTGGCAGCTTCTACATCCGTGGCACTAGCCCATAGCACTAAGTCAGAAATCCACGACCTGAGAGAGTAATGATGATTGCGTTCACAGCTCCAAGCCGGCGGCACCTTTAAGGTCGCTGTACCTACGTACGGAGGTCCGGCGTCTCCTACGTGCGCGTGCTGCCTGGGATGATTACCTCCAGGATTGTGTCCTCTATGAAAGCCAGGGTTCATGAACACCAGAACTGCCACACTGAAGACTAAACACAACCAGACAACAAGCTTTGCAATGGAGAAGTACTGCTTTCCGTTCCGCCGACTCGACTTCAGCCGCCTCGCTTCTTTCCTGCGAGACTTGCGATCCGAATCGGGTTTAGAACGATGCATGTTCTTATCTTGTGTTCGCCTATAGTATGTTCCCAGGTTGCGCGGCTCAGGAGAAGGTGCTTTGATAGTGCGCGCACGTGCATCAGCTTCTACATTAACTGACGTGCTCACACCAGTGCTCACCAACTCTGAAGACCTCTCAAGCCTTCGAGGCAAACGTTGTATCAAAGCATCTACGGCAACACGGAATCTAAAAGGCACATGCTGTTGCACGAATGCGTCCAAAAGATCCTCAGTACGTGTACTCGCGATGCTCTGATCTACATCAAGGGGGAACCACTAGGGAGGCGAACAGGTCCTAAACCACTAAACCCAGGGATGGAGGTTTCGCCTTGAGGCACCGCGGCCTCCGTGGCGTTTGCCTGAGGCCGATGCTTCGGTCCTTCCACGGGAAGTTTAGGGTTCTCGGCATTAGGGGAACCACTAGGGAGGTTTTCTGGGACTAAACCACTAAACCCATCCGCGTGCATCTGAAGCGCTTGCTCGCGCACACTGAACACATGCTCCTCACTTAAACCGATATTATCTGGACTGGGGACTAAACCACTAGGGCTTAGGGTGAGAGTAGTGGCGGCGTGGTGCAGCGCAGACTGCACCTGCGAGTCGTCCGTGGTCGTCGTCGTCACGCTCGTGTCCAGAGTCAACTCGTCGTGAGGCGGCTCGACGACCAAACTGCGGGCGTGCACTCCCGTATCCTCGGCTCCAGAAGAGCCTGAGACACGAAAGAGTCCCTCGGCATTTTGATCGACGAGCCTGGCATATGGATCATCGTCCAGAGTCGACAGTTCGCGTCCTTCCAGCTGTTCGTCCAGTTCATCAAGAACGTGTGTCAGACGTTGCAGCGTATGTTCGAGGCGAATGTTCGACTCCAGATTCCTGAGCTCGCCTTGGGCTTTCATTGATGTTGAAATCACTGAATTCACAATGGATTCTGCAGATCCCTCATAACGACGCTCATCCAAGTCAAAGATCGGAGTATTGCTTGCGCTGGCTTCCGATTCCGCTTGTCCATCCAGCTCTAACGGTCTGCTTCCTTCCACATACAAAACGGTGAAGATTGCAGTCATGACCGAGAGCACACAAAGGAAGAAGCGGCATCCGAAACCACTGGCCCAGGAGCAACTCATGAGCTCCGCTACCAAGTTGAACTTGGCAGCGTCCGAAGGATCATGATAAAGCTCAACTTGCCTCTGCATCGCATCTCGTCCTTTTGCTTCTGCGCGTCTCATGGCTCAAGGAATGGATTCACGAGTGATCTTTACAAGTATGCACAGTGCAAAATGCAGTCAAGGAAAGCCTTCTAGGCGGAGGTCCGAAAGTATCTGCACAAGACCCAATTGACTTCAAACACGTGTGAGGTACCTCGAGGCTCGAGAGTCAAAGGCAGCAACCAGACAAAGTACCTGAGCGGGCATGTAGGCTGTTCTACTTCTCAACTCAAAGTAGTTACTATTTGGGTACATGGACCCTTAGGAGTTTGGGTTAGGGGTTGAAGCCCCGGAAACCTTTGGCAAAGAAGTCTAGACTGCTTCCGGGATGTGTTTAGGACAGTGGCCTGATTGATCGGAATAATGAAGGATGTTGGGAGACACAGTATCAGTATACATGGACTATTAGCGGTTCAGACTACTATCGGCGCCGTAGTTCACCAAATGCAGATCCGAGTGCTGTTTGATAGCGTCGCTGAGGGTGCCAGGCTCTATGCCACCATGGGCAACTTATTAACCAGAGCCCTAATCAGGTAACAGGTAGAGATATCGCGGCCTGCTCCGAATAGAGGAGCCTTGACAATTAGCAAAAGGTTCGAGGGTACATTACAGTTTAATTGGATAAGAATTCCTAGGATATGGTATTGATTGTTTCTGACCCTTCTGTCAACGGCGGAGTCGAGTCGCATTCTGCCGCGCGACAAGATCCAGACCTTGCCAGCTGTGGCTGGGAGAGGGGAGGCAGCGAGGGCTGTAGGGTTCAGAAACCCTAAACCCTAAACGCTAAACCCCTGAACCCCTAAACCCTAAACCCTAAAACCCTAAACCCTAAACCCCCTGAAAGCTTCGAAACTGTGTAACCTGTCGGTGGGTTATAAGAAAAGCTGCTCCTACGCCTGGGAGGCTTTCTTCACCTCAGCTTTGCCAAAAGTCCTCAGTGAAAGCATCACTGCTTCTCATGGCGGAAGCTCTGAGACCCTGAGGGTCCATTAGGGTTTAGGGTTTAGGGTTTTGGGGTTTAGGGGTTTAGGGTTTAGGGTTTAGGGGTTTAGGGGTTTAGGGGTTTAGGGGTTTAGGGTTTAGGGTTTAGTGATGTAGTATATGGGGGGTTTCCGAAAATAGGGGACCCCGAAGTAAGGTACCCCTTATTTACGGAAACTCCCAAAAACTGCTGCCTCCCCTGAGGCCAAACAGTAGGCTCTATGAGTACACCCTTTGGGCATCGCAGTGCTATTGTCGCAGGCAGCTTTGGATCCTTTCCGTACAGGAGACCTCTCCACTTTGAGTCCAGCTTCCCAGAGAATCCAGTACACCTTAATTGAGGAATATAATACCCTAAATTATAGAGGCCTTGATATTATGGTTTAGAGTATATTCCTTAATTAAGGGGTAATGGGTTCTCTGGCTTCAACCCCAGGGAACACAACATCTGAACCTACATCCGGCCAAGGAAGCCTGAGCGCAGGCCGGTTTAGGGTTTACCTGGGACCCAAAGAACCTAGCTTTTTAGGGCTCCTATTACTATGATTTCCTTATAGAAGTCCTCAAAAAAGGTAGGTTCTTTGGGGTCTAGGTAGGGTTTAGGGTGGCAAGGCTCCAAAGTACCCAAAATGGTCGCGAATCCTTGGGGCCCAAAACCTGCAGAGAAGCACGCCGTTCACCTGCAGAGAGAAACGCGCTACTTAGAGACTCCAAAATCCCTTAATTAAGGAATGTACCTTAAAATACAATAGGATCCCTAGTATGACTTAAGGTATATTCCGTTTTGGAGTTTCTGGGTAGCTGAGCCCAGGACTTTGCCAGCCTCCACGATTACCTGCAGCTGAGAATGCGGGTCGCCTGGAAGCCCCCGAAAAAAAAAAACATCATAAAGGATGCAATCCTAGAAAGACCTGAATCGTGCACCTTAACACATGTATATGTATGTATATATATATATAAATATATATATAAAGGCTTTAGAGTCATGGTCTTGGGACCCCGGTCACATGGGGATGGTTCCACCCTATCGGTTTAGGGCTTAGGGCTTGATGTGTGGTGCTTTGGGGGCGTAGGGGGGTTTGGAAGCACAAGCAGGTCTGCAGAGTCTGAATAACTAGACAAAAGGTTCCTAGAGTTAGGGTTTAGGGTTTAGGGTTTAGGCTCTAAAAATGATCAGCTTGCCTGTGCAGCATCCTAGGGCCCTAGGGTTTCTAAAGGTTAACATTGGGAGCCATAGATAGGTATTCAACTCCCAACCCAAACCCCCAAACGGATTAAGGTGACCTGCTCTGCCAATCCTACTACGTCGAGGAGCTCAGTGAATCCTCAGGAATGCCTTGCTGTGTGACCACTTACGAAGCCCGAACCGTTGCACTAGCTACTCACTCTTCACCCGTTGGGGTAAAAGCCTTGGGGCAAGGAAGCCCACGCAGCGTCTGAAGAAACCTTCATCTGCTAAGTTCAAGGTTTACCCTAAGGGACCCTGTACCCAAATAGTGTATTCTACTTCGGCCCCAAAATACCTTTTTGGGGACTACTTTCAGGCCAAAGTATATAATATTTGGACACATGGACCCTTAAGGTTATGTTCAGGGCTTAGGGCCAGCGGATTGGAGTTCACAGTTTAGGTTTAGTCCTGGGTTTAGGGTTTATGGACAGTTTAGGAGTTTATTGAGCCGCAAGGTGTCTACAAGGGTTCAAGAAGGTTCTACGATAATGTCGACGACCCCTGTTAAATGTGCCCCTGCGTGCTCGAAACCCTACACCTCAGACCCTAAACCCCTCTTCCCGTGAATTTCCGGCATGCTGCTGACGACTCTGCCGCCACTTTGGGTTTCCAGGTCCAAGGCGTGAGCTGCCTCGGCTTGCGAACAAAGGCGAGCCTTTCGCTTCCTACTGCTTTGTTGGGGTTAGCATGGATTCTACAGGGTACTCTAGGGCCTTGTAGGGCGTCGGAGGGTGTGACAGGTTTTCTGCAAGGATTGTCAGTTTTTTTTTTTTTGTTTCTCTCTCTCTCTCTCTCTGTAGGGCTTGGAGTTTAGGACACTGGGGCTTTAGACTCATGCACTGGTTCTTTGAGATCGTTTATATGCTCCCAAGCTGACTCACAATCGAATGGTAGGTCAAGCTCTAAGATCTCGTAAACTTAAAGACTCCCTGTTGCTGTTTGAGAACATTGGACGTAAGATCGGAGGGCTTATCGCTAAAGCCTCAACATCTTAAAGTCGCAGGGCTTGGGTATTGCAAGCAACCACCCCAAACCCTAAACCCTAAACCCCTAACCCCTAAACCCTAAACCCCTAAACCCCTAACTAAACCCTAAACCCTAAACCCCTATACTTTAACTTTAAACCCCTGAACCCCCAAACCCCTAAACACTAAAACCCTAAACCCTAAAACCCTAAAGCTCTAAGCCCTAAAACCTAAACCCTAAACCCGAAAACACTAGAGCTTTAAGCCCTAAAGCCCCAAAGATCTAAACCCTAAACCCTAAAATCCTA